CCCCAAAACCCCAAAACCCCAAAACCCCAAAACCCCAAAACCCCGTATGAACACAAGATACTGAAATTATATATTATTGGTTAATTTCTACGCCTCTTCCTAGCAAATGATTTCGATTGGAAGTTCTTTCCACCTTTCCTTTTCTTTCCAGCAAGAGAGAATAAACTCTGATCTGCCTCTTCAGAGTCTTTCATATCAGACCCAGTGACAAATCCTTTCTTGGTGTCCATTGTCTTCACTTCAAGATTTGCAAGTCTTTGAGCTTCAATGACTCTTTCATAAAAGATGAGAGCTTCATCTTGTTTGATAGGGTATTCTGACATTTTTACCTTGGTGAGATGCTCAATTTTCTGGAAATTCTCTACATCATATTGAGTGACTAAAGTGACTGCTCTTCCAGATTTACCTCCTCTAGCTGTACGACCGACTCTATGGATGTAATCCTTAGGATTTGCAGGAATATCAGAATTGATAACGAGATCAACAGAGGGAATATCAAGCCCTCTGTTAGCAACATCGGTTGCTATCAAGATCTTGCCTCCTGATTTGAATTTGTTGAGGGCTCCTATTCTTTGGGTCTGAGTAAGGTTTCCACTAAGAGCTACTGCATCAAAGCCTAAGTTCCTGAGCATCAGGGTCATTTTTAGGATGGCCATACAAGTGTTGTTGAACACCATAATTTTCTTCCCACTGAACTCAGTGAGAAGATAAACAAGGTATACTTCTTTATATTTGTTTGGCAAGAAATGGTAGTTCTGAATCAAAGTAGATACAGTCTGATATTTATCAGACACCTCGATCTTTACAGGATCTACAAGTGAAGCCCTCTGAAGCTTGTGGACCTTGCTAGTCATTGTTGCTGAGAATAAAAATGTTCTCCTCTTTTTAGGGATAGTTGAGAGAATTTGATTGATTTGTTTCTCGAAATCAAGGTTTAGCAGTCTATCAGCTTCATCGAAGATTAAGTATTTAAGGTGTTTTAAGTTAAATCCTTTGGTGTTTGCAAGATGGTCAGCAACTCTTCCTGGAGTTCCGACAATAACGTGAGGCTTTTTAGCAAGGGAGATAGCTTGAGCCATCATATCAAGTCCTCCTACTAATACAGAAGTCTTTAAATTAATATCAGCTCCAATAGCTTCAAATTGCTCTGCAATCTGAATACAAAGCTCTCTTGTTGGAGACATCACAAGACAGAAGAATGGTCTTTGCTCATTTAACAAATCTTGAAGAACAGGTAATGCAAAAGCTGCTGTTTTTCCACTTCCAGTCTCAGCAAGCCCAATAATGTCTTTTCCTTTCATAGCATATGGAAGTGCTTCTTTCTGAATTTTAGATGGATGTTTAAACCCAAGCTTCTTAACCGCCTCGCACAGCTCATCACAAAGGCCTAGCTCCTTAAAGGTGACAGACTTATCAATAATGTTATCATCTTCTTCTGTCTTCTCTATCTTAGTTTCTTCAGGTTTAGTTTTCTCAATTTTCTCCTGAATATTCTCTTGGGCCTCCTCTTCTGGCTTCTCAGTTGTTTCTTTCTTTTCAGCTTTGCTAAACAACCAGTTAGCTTGATGTACAAATCTAGTGAAAAACCTGTAGCCCTGCGACAGGCTTCAGCAGTAGGCTTACCTTTTGTGAGTAGTTTTTTCTGTTTTCTCCATAATTAATTATTCAACGCGCTTTTTTTATTTTGGGGTTTTGGGGTTTTGGGGTTTTGGGGTTTTGGGG